TTTATTCAGGGGTTCCATCATTTTTATATTCTGCTCTATTTTTTTTATCAGTGTATTCTTTAGAAGCACTTAGTACTTCTTTTTTTTTCCACTTAGTACTTCTTTGATTATAGTCATCACTAAACTTTTTAGTTCAGAAATTATTTCTGATCTGATTTCTATACCTTTCTGCAATTGTTTCTTTACTGCCAACGCTATTATTTCAGAGATATCTGGTATGTGATTTCCAGTTTCCTCAATGCTAGTGTCTTCTGCAATTGTACTGGGTGGATTTGGGGCCTGAGACTGCATTTTGTTCCTTTTGTTTGTCATTTTGTATACTACTGTCTTCTGACCCTTGGTGTAGAGCTTAGAGTTATTACCTTAGCACCAGGTCTGGATCTACGAAGTTCAGATTCCTCCAGGTGGGTGTTGCTCGGATCTAGCTGCTGTGCTCCACTTCTTTCTGCCGTAGTCCTTAGAGTTGAACCCTTTGTGTCACTCTGGCAAGATGTTCTGCTCCTGAAACATCTGGGTGGGTCTTGCCTCTAGCTTCTTTGCAGGGAGATCTGCTGAAGGGTTCCATGCTGGGCCTGCACTCTGGGTCGAATGAGGATCAGGTGGGCCCCAGGTGGTCTCATTCACACACCGGACCTGTGCTCTGGGTCTATTCAGGATCTGGTGGCCCTGAGTCATCTCATTCACACGCAGGGCCTGCACTCTGGGTCTGTTCAGGATCTGGTGGCCCTGGGTCATCTCACTCACAGGCTGGACCGGCGCTTCTGGTATATTCAGGATCCAGTGGCCCTGGGTCATCTCAATTACTCGCTGGGCCTTGGCTCTGGGTCTATTCAGGATCTGGTGGCCCCGGGTCATCTCATTCACATGCAGGGCCTGCGCTCTGGGTCTATTCAGGATCCTGCAGGCCCCAGGTCCTCTCACTCACTTGCCAGGTCTGTGCTCTGGGTCTGTTGAAATCTGCCTTTTAACTCCAATAGATTTTGTTGACCAAATTAAGCATTCTAAAATTTAATGAAACAAGCTTTTTTTTTTTTTTTTTTTTTTTTTGACAGACTCTCACCACATAATCCAGGCTGGGCTTGAACTTGCAATGTAGCCCACGCTGGCCTTAAACTGGGGGTGATTCTCCTGCCTCAGCCTCCTTAGTGATGGTATTATAGATTTGTGCTATCCGAAACAAGTTTTATTTTACTTACCCCTTCATAATTTCTTTCTTTCTTTTTTTTTGGCAGAACCGGGGATTGAACTCAGGTCCCTGTACTTGCCAGGGAAGTGCTTATTCTACAGAGCCATCTCCCTAGCCCATAATTTCATAAAATTAAAAAAAATAATTTTTCTTGTTGCACTGAGACATACCTTACTACTTGTAATATCTTCATCCTTGGTTATTTTAATGTTTTTCTATCTTGAAGTAACAAAATTTAGATTTCCTAGGATTTATTTTCCAGGAACCTCGCTGTCCCATAAAATGAGATCCACTTTTATTTCAACTTAACTTTGCAGAAGCAAGCCACAAATCATTGCTCCACCACAAAGTTAATGTCTTCTTCTAGTTTTAAGATAGTACACAGTCTTTTCTTTCTCTTGGACCTCATGGTCATCCTATACTTGCAATATAAATCTTCATAATGCAAAATGCATTTATTGCAAGCAGTAGGCCATACAACAAAATTGTAATGTAATAAAAACTTTAATCAAAACTTTGGGGATCCTTGTTGCTTTGTTACAGTCTGCCTGCCCTGAACTGTTGCTTCTCTGTGATGACAAGGCTCCATGCGTTGGAGCCAGCTGATTCTAGACTGAAACCTTTACTAACTGAGCTAAATAAACCTTTTCACTCTTAAAAAAAAAAAGACTTTGGGAATCATTGTAATTTATTTGACTGATTAAGCTTAATGATTAAAAATTTTAAATTGGATTGGTTTTTGCTGAAGATGAAAGCTATAAGGAAATAATTGTCACATTAATAATTCTAATTTGTTATATTTAATATTTAAAATAGAACATGGTCTTTATTAGTAAACTAATCTTAAGTTCTTAATTTAGTGGTCAACAAGGAGCACACAGTCAGACCTAGACTCTAAAACAAATCCATTAAGTGTGAGAAAGATGAATTATTAGAGTTGAATTATTAGAGTTTTCAAACCATTGTTTACATTTTAAAGGATTATATACCAGCTGAATGTGGAGATGAGAGGAGACTTGAGGGGATGATAATATTTTATGGTCTGGTTTGTCTTAAATCTTTTTTGAATTTTAAATTGAATCTTATACATTCAGTATAAGTAAGAATATAAGTTCTGTAAGAAAATATTTCAAAAGGATGAATTGAGGCACCAGGTATGGTGGTGAGCACCTGTAATTCCAGCTCTCTGTGAGATTAGACACAAAGATAGCAATTTTGATTCTGGTGACTTAGCGAGACCTTGTTTCAAAAGAAAATATAAAGATAGAGCTGGAGATAAAGCTCACTCTGAAGACCCTGGGTTCTGTGCTCAGTACTGGAGGAAATAAAGGTCAAATTGATTTTTTTGGCAGCAACTTTAAAAAACATTCACTAAACCTAATTACTCTCCAGGGTGTGGGGGAAATGGCTTGGGATCTTTCAGAGAACCATGTTATCTCTTAAGGTTCATCAGAATAAAGTTGATGCATGAAATTAGCCGCAGGCAGTGCTTTCTCTTTTTATAAGGAAAACATGGGAGAATAAAGTTCCATCATTTTCCTTGTGTGGGGAGGGCATTGAAGGGCTGTAGGCACAGAATGACTGCTGTGAAGGTGCACTGCTTTTAGACCATGAATCAGAAGAAAATGTTAGCTGCTTTCGGCTTCCTTTTCCTGCCCTCTCCTCTCCTTAACCCAGTCTCTTTCTAGAAAGAAGAATGAAACTTTAATATGATTAAATGTTAAATACCTATTTTGGGAGCATTGGCTCTATTTTGCCAGTGCTTGAAATATTTGAAATTGTTAAAATAGGTCTTACAGGTGTGCCTTATTTTTATGATGCTGAGGATTGAACCCAGGCCTACACTGCTAGACAAGTGCCCCCAGCACTGACTTCACAGCAGGCACTCAGTCCCTATTATTTCTCAAAGGTAAATTTAGTTAGAAAGCAAGCGAAAATCAATGAAATTTTGTTATTTTTCCCTATTAATGTGATTTAGAAATTCTTTAAAACTAAAGTTGTGATTTATTTTATTTTTCAATTTTTCTTGAGCAACTGGGGATTGAACTCAGGCCCTTGTGCTTGCCAGGGAAATGCTTATTCTACTGAGCTGTCTTCCTGGCCCCATAAAGTTGCGATGTACAAGTTTTTTATTTTTATTTTTTATCTTTTTTGGCTCCGAATGCCTTCAGGGCAGGTTTGGCTGGTTTGAGTTCTGGGAATCGAACCACAGCAACCTGAGCCTAACTGCTTTGTTGAAGCAGCCACTTAAAGAACTGAGCTAAGGGGCAGGCCCCCGAGTTTTTTATTTTAATTAAAAAAGAATTCTAAATTCTCAGCAAAGAACTAATGGAATTCAGAAGCCTATCTTCTTACGTTTTATTTTGCTAAGAGTCAGTGAGGAGATTCTTTTCCAGAATCTACAGGACAGCCAGAGATTATGCCTTCCTTTCATGTTTGTCTCTGTAGAGAAATATTTTTGAGGTAGATATTTAACATCTTTTTTTTTTCCAGTATGGGGATATTTAACATCTTAAAAGATTTTGTACAATAGGAACATTTAAAATGACCTTAGAAGCACAAGGCCAACTTTGGCCTAGAATCAGCCAGGCCAGAAAATAACGATAAGATACATTGTTGGAAGTGAGAGTAGACTGGGACCTCACCAGAGGACATAGTGCTAGAAATGAAATATGACAGATCTGTGGAGATTTCCTAGCTCACAGAACCCATGTTCCAGTGATCCCCTTTTGAGTAAAGTCAGAAACAAACTTCAGGGAGTATAAAATCATTTTTAGGAGGGCTGCTAGCCAAAGTTCAGCATCCTATTTTTATAGAGAGGGTTATTTTATGCCATTTAATTAATACAAAGACTTTGACCTTTACTTAAGTAATGATTTTACCAAAATTCAAACTATTTCATTTCTGGCTTTTCTTTGTACATAAGTTACCACCCTGGTTAGTTAAAAGGATGTGTCTTGTGGGTCCAATCTTACTTTGACATGTATTCTTTGACAATCTTAGAGGATTTCATTTTTCAGTAAAAATCAGTTCCCAGAGTTTAACACAGAGAAGACAGGCTCTGTTGTGATAGACTGCCTGGAAGTACATGCTGTGGGAATACACGGGAATGGGCTTTGGTAGTAGAATCAGACACAAGGCTGTTGTAATTTTCTATGAAAATGAAAACAGAGAAGTGGAAATGAAAACTAAAATATGAGGAAACTACATAAAAATGACTATTTTGGGGCTGGGGAGGTAGCTTGGCGGTCTAAGCACCTGCCTGGCAAGCACGAGGACATGGGCAGCAGAGTACCGCATGCTGTGCTGGCCCCTGGAACCGCAGGTGCGCCCTGCCAGCCCTGAAACCAGCTGTGGGTGGTGCATGCCTGTAATCCCAACGTTGTGGAGGCTGAGACAGAAAGATCGCTGTGCGTCTGAGCTGTCTAGTGAGACCCTGTACCAAATAAATAAACAATTTTGTGGTAGAAAAATTTGTTACTATTTTAAAAATGTATTTGGTTGTTACAGGGTCTTCACTATGCAGCTCGGCCTCATGGTGATTCTTCTGTTTTCAGCCTCCCTAGCGCTGGGATTACAGGCCTACATCACTAACTCTGGCTCAGCCCACCCTGGGGGTGGGGCTGGTGTGGCATGTGGTGCGGGGGAATTGAACCATGGTCCCGTTGCCTGCCTAAGCTTGCCTAAGCAGGTGCTTCAGTCCACTTAGCTATCTTGCTGCCCTAAAAACTTGTAATTCAATAAAATTTGGGAACAAAGACTCAAAAGTTCTAATCACAGGAATGGATAACATAAAGGAATGTGCCAAACTTACCTATTTTTCCAAGAGTGTCCACTGAAATAGACAAAGGTAAACACATCAGTAAGTGTTGGACTTTCCTCCTTCCCAACACCCAACCTCTTCATTGGGCAGAATCTGTTACTAAATCTGTGTTCAGTGTAGGGAGGCTTCATTCCCCTCTCTCTTCCCTCTGCACTGTGATGTACAAAGACCTTGTGATAAACTACTTCAGTGGCCTTTAGTTTTCATTAATAACTAGGAATTCTGTTAATTCCAAATGTACAGTTTTTTGCAGGGTGTGGTGGCACACACCTAGAAAGCACTCTAATAGACACTCTTATTGGTCTTTTTACTAATACAATTAATAATAATTTTCCCCTTGGGACAAGCATACCTGCACCACTGCTAGCTCAAGCTGGTGGAAACATACTGATTCTTAAAAGCCTTAGAATTCTTAGAATTGTAAAGGAGCATTTGCCTCGATTTAAAGTCACCAGCTGCATTAGCCCTTAACCAGAAAGTCATCCTATCTTGTGAGTTGGGAATGGGCTACCTCTAACTGTGCAATCCTATCTTATGAGTTAGGAATGGGCTACCTCTAACTGTGCAAGTCTTAGATGATAACTTCCAATATAACGTGTTTTCCCCCCCATGAGTCTGCATTGAAAAATATGTTGGTTAATGTTATGGCTTGTATCTAGATGTCTGCCCAAAGTCTCTTGTACTCACAGGGTGGGCTTTTTGAAGGTGACTGGGTCTAGGGTGTGTGATACTGGGATTAAGGGTGTATGATGTTTGGATTAGTCCTCTAGTTGTATTAGCGTAGTTCTGGGTGTGGTTGATTGGATTTACCAAAGAAGGAACCCCTACCCTGAGAGTAGGTGACACCAATCAGTAGGCTTGTAGTCTGGAGGGAATGTAAAGGGACTGCAGGGAGCTTGCTGCCCCTGCTGCTTCCTGCCTGGCGCGCCACGTGCTGTTTCTCCTGTGCCATGTGCCGCTCTGCCTTGGAGCCAGCTGACTGTGGCCTGATACCTCTACAAACTGAACTGAAATAAACTCCTTTCCTCCTTTAAACTTGTGGGTCTTGCATATTTTGTCCCAGCTTTCAGAAAAATAACCAAGAGAGTGTAGCAATCACCTCCATCAATAATCTTAGCTAGATCTTCTGGATAACTTACTCTAGTTCCTACATCAGCCCTTGCCACTTTGCCTTGGATTTTTAATGTTTTGGAAATGCTTCCTTTCCTTAAACCTTATGAAGTAATTTTTCTAGCTTCAAGCTTTTCTTCTGCATCTTTACTTCTTCATAGAACTGAAGGACTTAGATCTTGGGTTTGGATTAGGCTTTAGTTTTGGGGAAGGTTTGATCAGACCACTGAATCTCTATCTGCAGCAAGGCTCTTTTGCTTTCTGTTCATTTGAGCGTTCACTGGAGTAATACAGTACTTTTAGTTTTCTTCAGCTTAACACTTTGCATTAACTATAATGTGAGTGTTTCTGTTTTTCTTTTTAGTGCTGTTATGCTTTATTTCTCATTATACTTCATTTCTCTAAGTCTACATCTTGGCTGTGTGGCAAGGGGCCTAGCTTTCAACCTGTTGTGGCTGACATACATCTTCCCCACTAGGCTTAGTCATTTTGCACTTGTGATTTAAAATGAGTGATGTGTGACTCTTTTTACTCAGATATTTGGAGGCCATTGTAAGGTTATTAATTCGCCTAGTTTCAATACTGCTGTGTGTGAGAGAACAGGGAAAGTTGAGCAGGGGGAGACATGGTCAGTGGAACAGTTAACACATACATTTTTGATTGCTTGCCATCTAATACAGGTGTAGTTCATGGTGTCTTAAAATAATTGCAATAGTCAGGATCATTGACCAAAGGTCTTTAAAACAGAAATAATAATAATGAAGTTTAAAATATTGTGAGAATTAGCAAAATATGATCCAGAGATACAGTGTGGTACAATTGGAACTGATAGACCTGCTTGGTGAAAGGTTGGCATAAATCTTTAATTTGTTAAAAAAAAAAAAAGCCAAAAGCAACAAGATGAGATGTACCTGTCCTTGTTTTCTTACTTTTCCTTAAATATTCTGGAAGTGTTCCTACCTCAGAGTGCTTATATTCTCCTCGGAAATATTCCCCTTTGATATCATAGCTAATTCTCTTTTAGGTCTCATTTAAGTTTTGTCAATTACTGAGAATGAAATGCTGAATTTAACTGTAACATGAGTTTTTGTTTTTGTTCTTAGTTCTGTTGTGCTTTATTTCTCATATATGTAAAGTATTTGAAGCATCGTTGTTTAGTGCACATATATTTAGATTTTTTTTGTGTGTTACTTCATATTGAGCCCAAGGCCTTTGGACTGAACAACACCAATAGTACATTTTTGTCTTTCATTTTGAGATGAGGTCTTACTAAGTCACTTAAGTGGGCTCAAACATGCTATCTTCCTGCCTTGGCCTTGGAATTATAGGTGTGTATCACCACACCAACAAGTTACACCTTTTATATACTTTGTTAATTTTTGTGTAATTTGTATATTTAGATTTATTATTTTTACTCAAATGAAATCATAAATGTGTATAATTGCCTGAGTGTTATGGAAGGAGGTCTCGATTAAATTATTTTAGGGAGGGAGAGTTACAAAAGGCTTCTTGGCCTGTTTTCTTTTTGGCACCAGTGATCGAACTCAGGACCTCACACTTGCAAAACCCTTTCTTTTTGCAGTAGTGGTGGTCCAAGATTAGAAAGGAGAGGACAAGGTAAGCCTTTATTTTTTATCCTTAATTTTACCTTAGTGCTTTCTCTGTTTTCTTTGCAGTCTGTCCCTCCTCAAACTCTTACTTGCTACATTTAATTTTATTATCTCTACTATTTATCTTTGGGGATTTTGTTTTGTGACTTTCTAGTTTCAGACTAAAATATAAAATTTTTATGTACTATTTCCATGATCTTTCCTGTGGCTACAACATATTTTACCAGCATGGTTTTCCCTTTTTTCCTCTTTTGTAAATTATGTCTTATTTTTAACCAAAGGAACACTTCCCCTATTTGTCTTTTGCTTGTGGTTTCCTACTCTTGTGGGCCTTTGTTTAAACTAAAACTAAAACCAAACCGACTAACCAACCAACCAACCACCTACCCACCCATCCACTCACTACTGCCACCAGTGCCACCAACAATCAAAAGGACTCTTTGTAGAAGAACATGAGAAAATATGGAGGAAAAGAAATGGGAAATACTTTGATTCTCAGGGTCTAGAGTGGTGAGATGTGAGAACTGTCCGTGCCAAAGAAGGAACCCAGATGCTACACAAGACTAGAGGAAACAGAAGAAGATAGTAGGAACTTACAGGCTGCTATTGGAGCAATTGCTACAAAAGAAAATAAAAACAAATTAGTTTTTTTTTTTACTGAAAAATTATGCGTTGAGTTTGAACATTCCCTTAGAATAGAAAGAACTTTTGGGAAACACTAAATCTTTGAAGAATATGCTATTCTTCATTAAGTCAGTTCTGTCCACTTGAATAACAAATAACCAGGCCATATTGGAAAGTGTTTATGAGGTCACTTTTTCTAATGAAATAAATATTTCAGAATATTCCTAACCTGGGCAAAGTGTTACATAATCTTTGGAGATTAATTAAAATTAGATTACTCTCTTTATAATCTTTCATTGTTTTGGGGTCTCTTGATATTCTTTTTTTTACATAGTTATGTGGGTACTCATTGTATTTTTTTTACAGTATAGAAAATTCATTTGTAATTATCTTTAAACTTTGGCTATGATAAATGTGTTTCTTTCTGGTAATATCCGAGGTTTTATTCAGAATTCTTAATCTGGCTTGGGAAAAGCATGTGTTAGGAAACATTTCTGGATAATTTAGAATAATTAACAGAATTATAAAAGAGAAAGTGAATTTATATGGGAAGCTTATATCTTATTTTGGACTGTTTACTTATTCTGAACTTGTTTGTATCTTCTTCCAAATTTATATATTGAGGCCGGGGAGATGGCTTAGTGGAATAAGTGCTTCCTCGGCAAGCACAAGGACCTGAGTTCAATCCCCGGTTCCACCAAAAAAAAAATAATTAAAAAAAAATTTATATATTGAGCTCCCAGTCCCCAGTTGAGTGGTATTCAGCGGGAGAGCCCTGGAGAGCTAGTTAGGTCATCAGCGTAATAACCCTTCATCAGCAAGATTAGTGCCTGTATAAGAAGACACGTGATTTTCTCTGCCGTGTGAGGATACAAAGGAGGCACCTGTCTCCAAACTAGGAAGAGAGCTCTTAGCAGGACCTGTGTCCATTAGCTACTTGATCTTGGAATTCCCAGCTTCCAGACTGAGAAATATTTAAATATGTGTTAGTTCATATATCCTGTTACTGAATATTGTAAACTAAAATACAGCCTTTGCTACAGTATCAGCAAACCATGTGATCATGGGGCACGGAAACAAGTGTTCTTGCTTGCACATCCAGGAGGTGCTAGAAGGCAGTAAGGCAAAGATGGGTTAATGACAAGGAATATTTTATTTTATTTTATTTATTTTATTTTTTGGCAGAACTAGGGATTGAACTCAGGCCCTTGTACTTGCCAGGCAAGCGCTTATTCTGTTGAGCTATCTCCCTGGCCCCAATGACAAGTAATCCTAAAGCTGTTAATTTCTTGAATCTTTTATAAAGTCCTATATGTATAATGGTAAATTATGTCTAAAGTGGGAAAAATGGAGGGAAATTTAGCCCCTTTTCCCTTTCAGTTTTTGTGAGAATTTAAAACTAATAAAAGGAGTTAATGCTGATTTTAATTTAAATTTTTCTTCCTTTATCTTTCATATGATTTTTGTTCTATTCTCTTAGTCCTTCCTAGGTTTTTGTACTTATTTATTCCTTGCCTTATTTAGAAACTACATGAGCTAGTTTTTTTTCGGAACCGGAGATTGAACTCAGGCCCTTGTGCTTGCCAAGGAAGCACTTATTCCACTGTGCTAGTTTATGGTAGGACTGCTGTGGTTCATGTCTAGGTGCCCCCAGTGCCTCGTGTGCTTGTAGGCCTGGTTTGTAGAAGGTGGCTGAGTCAAGGGTGTGCCATAGCCAGCTTGCTGTGAAGTGGTGGGGTCTGCTTGGGGGAGGGGGAGGGAAGCAGGTGGCTGGAGGCTAGCTCAGGAGGATGCATCCACCTCAATGCTTCCCTCACTCTCTCTGCTCTCTGGCCACTGTGAGGTGAGTAGCTTTCCTTTAAGGCAGGCCCTTCTCCTATGCTGTTTCTACTTGGAGCAAGGCCATTCATGTAGGGACTGGGAATTCTGAAAATGTCAACCAAATAAAACTCTGCACCCTCCTGTCAGTGATGGGTGTCACATATTGTGTTTCAGTGATGAGGAAAGTGACTGAGACAAAGATTTCTATTTTTCTTTTTTTAATGATATACTCATATTGTGCATATCCTTTTTATTCTTTGCATCAGTAGAGTTTTTCACTTAAAATCAATAATTTTAGAAAATGTAGAAGAATCTGAATACAGAAAAGATAGGAAATACATCACTTAGATTTTGCATTAACATAAGTGACTATAGCCAGTTACAGCACCTGGCCTGAGCCACCGGGATAGTCAGAGGATAGCAGAGCTGTCAACCAAGCAACACAATGCTGGGGTTTGAAAAGAACTATAGGATCAATGAAACACAAAGTTCAGGCTTCCAAAAGTTCAGTTACTACTCATATTCTTTATAGTGAGAAAGAAAAAGAAATCTTTAGCCAGCCACTCTTTTTCCTAAGAAAGAAACTGCAAGAAAATATGACAGATTAACCACTCTTTTGTTTTTGTACAGTAAACTAAGCCTAGAGAATAGAAAATTAGTATATACATAAGCTTCACAAAAACTAGGTAACTAGTGATGGAGGATGGTCATATTAGGAATTTTTAATATTTAAATTTTATTTTTGGATATCAAACATTAACTTCATGTAATTATGAATAAACACTATTAATGAATTATGAGGTAATAGTTCCTGTAAAGACTTACTACAATTAGATAAAATTTATTTTTTGCTCATAGCTCATTTAAGAAAAGGTTGAAAAATAATCATGTGATAAATGGCTGGCTCTTTCACAACACATGAAGTCCTTGGAATAGCTAAAGTCAATTTAGAAGAATTTCTTTATGTGTGCAGGTGGACAGAATATGGAAAACTGCTGAAAGAGTGATGAATTCATCAGAAAATCTCACTAAACCAAAGTCATTAAACAAAATTTGTTAATGCTAATGCTCCTAAAAAGTGTAGAATGGACAAAAGTTTTATCATTTGAGAAAAACTTCCCAGCTCCTTCACAACACATGAAGTCCTTGGAATAGCTAGTCAATTTAGAAGAATTTCTTTATGATGACCAGACTAAAGACTAAGCTAATAAAAAGTATTTCAGAATCCTGCATCAAAACATGGAAAAGTAGATCCTTTTTTGGGGGGGTCTTACTTTATTTATTTATTATGTGTTTAGTACAGGATGTACAGGGTCTCACTACACAGATTGGACTTGTAGCGGTCCTCCTGTTTTCAGCCTCCTAAGCGCTGGGATTGCAGGCAGGTGCCACCACACCCAGTCTCAGCTGCCATCTCGGTGCACCCCTAGGGCAGGGCGACACGGCCTGCAGGGGACTGAACCCTGGTCCCTGTGCTTTAGTTGGTTGAGCTATCTGGCCAGTTCATCTGAGGGTTTTAGGAGTATAAAGTCTCTCTTTCTGATAGGTTTGGTGAGGTTCTCACCACCAATAATTGTAACAAGAAAAGTCTATTTTAAGAGAGACAGATGAGGAAACAGTAAGTACATACACATTTATTTGTTAGAATCTTGAGGGGATGTGGGCTGGTGAGATAGCTCAGTGAATTAAGCGCCTGCTGTGGCAAGTGCAGGAGCCAGGGTTTGATCCCTGGCCCCATATGCCGCGCTGGCCCTGGCCCTGGCCCTGGGGCAAGCTGAGCTGGCAACTGTCCTCGGGTGTGGTGGCGCACGCCTGCAATCCAAGCACTGGGGAGGCTGAAGATGGAGGATCACTACAAGTATGAGCTGCATAGTCGGACCCTGTACCAGCCACATAAAGGAAAAAAAATTGAGGGGAAGGGCAAAATTCTGTTTTCGTTGGTGAAGTATTTCTTTTGAGAAAGCTTTACTGGAAAGTATGTTAAAGTGGAGTCTTGAAGTACACTAAGAAGGAGGAGTTTGAAGGTGCCTTATTCAAAGTGAGATTTTACGATTTTTCTGCTTTCTGTCTTTCTGAAAGGGTTAATTTAAATGGGGTCAATAATAACGTGAAAGTATAGTTTTTTGGCCCAAACATTTCTAGCATTAATTGTACATGAGATTTCCTCTTCATTAAGTGAAAAATACATGTCTTAATTTTTCTATTCTTTATTCTTGTTTGTATACATTCCTTTATTGCTAGTCATTGTGCATATTGTTTTTAAATTCGTAAGTACTTAAGAGGATACTAGATACTAGGGAAGCAAATGGGGTTGGAGAATGTCTGTGTAAAATATTTTATTTCAGGGAAAATTTTGTCAAAGATCAAGAAATAGATGAATGATAACTTACCAAAAGGTATTGGAGTTACTGGCAGAACAACATGAAACAAAAATGTATTAGCAGAATTTCTGGATCGAGAACATAGTTTCAGTCCTTGCTCTTTCCAAGGGGTTAATAAAGAGATCTTGGAAGATACAAAACCTCTCCCTCCCCAAATATTTGTGAGGACGTAAGAGGCGCTAGCGTTTCTTAAGGGACGGTCTCTGTGTGACTGACTATGGCATATGTTTTTCTATATTATCTAATAGGAAGGTTTGTTGCAGAGAACTAAACAATTTTGAAGGTGAATGCTAATTGCAGTTAATTATTTTTCTCACACTTAACCTCACTGCTTTCTTTTTTATTCCTCTTTGGTATGTTCTTTATATCTTTCCTTTTGGCCATATGGAAAATTTTATTCGTTGTTAAAAGCTACTAGAAAAATTTTAAGAAAATAAAAATGCATCTTTCCTGCTTATTTTCCTAATCAACTGTTTATTCTTTCCAGAAAGTTTAAACTCAGCAGAATAGTAAGCAGAGGAGGGGATATTCATAAGTAGAAATGCTAAGTGGAATTTAGATATGAGTTAGGAAAACTTTTCCCCACTTTGGGATCCCCATTTATACCAGATTGATTGATTGATTGATTGATTTAGCAGAACCAGGGATTGAACTCAGGCCCTTGCGCTTGCCAGGGAAGCGCTTATTCCACTGAGCCATCTCCCCGGCCCCTTATACCAGATTTATGAAAAGAAAAGGAACTTACTGATAGGAACTGCTACATGTGCTAAAATTCAAATACAAATTATTAATTTGGGTTGACACTAATAACAGACTTGACAATAATAGGATTGTTATATTTTTTAGACAGGAAAGTTTCTAGGATTAAAAAAGAAGAGAAAGCCCCAAACCTTTGATAATGTTACTTTTATTTTCATTTTCTAGCATTATAGTCATTTTGAAAGAGTGAAAAAAAGATGTAATTTTTTTTTTCATCATTAAATTTTGTTGGAGAATGAAATAGCACAGAGCAAGAAAAACCTCATTTCCGTAGCTTTTGCTTTCAGTGTTCCCTCTTGGAGCTTGTTGCTTTATTTTTCATGAATGTTCTACTTTTCTGTCATTTCTACCATGTATTTAATTGAAAATATTCTTTTTGTTGAAAAATCAGTAGAGCCAACTCAAGAGATTTTTAAAAGTCTCACCCTCAAGTACTTGTCAGTTTCATTTTCTAGGTAATTAGTAAACAAAGAGGATGAATTAGTGAGCTGTATGCAGAGATCAATAAGCCCCGTGGTGCTAGCACAGTAGCCGCAGCTGTCCTGTCCCCTTGGCTGCTTTGTCATTGCTGTATTCTAACTGTGTGAAGTCTTGTTTGCATCTAGTGAGACATTTTAACTTACAAGAAAAAAATTATCATGTTTATTTTCTCAATAATCGTTGTGGTCTCTGCTTTCTATGAGATCATACCTATTCCAGCAGAATTCTGCTAACTGGAAGTGGATATGAGAGTTTTGCCTTTGAAATGCAAACAGCCACATTCAGCACAACCCTACAATGAGCAGGTAGCTTACGTATCAGACAAAGGGAATTTCTGAGAATTTCAAGTTATCATTAGTGTGAGACAACTTGCATTTCATTAATACTTTTCAGTGAATTAAGATAGAAAAACATTTTAAGTAGTTGTAGAACATATTTTTTACATGTAAGAGCTCCATTTCCAGAGTACGAGGAATGAGTTACTTCCCCTTCTATTTTTCTTAACCATACTGGATGTGAAATATGTCACTAATGTTTAAATTCATATGTAAACTTGGCGAGGGCAGAGTCTTTTTATTTTGGTCCCTGCCATGTTCCTATGATAGGCCCTGAATAATTGTTTTTTATTCTATGCAAAAATACAAAATTTCTAAACAAAATAATAGAATACTAAGAATTAATACATTATATATTGTTGTCTTCAGAGTAGTTACTCGGGGTACTGAGTAGTTACTCAAGATGATGCATGAAAACTTCTCCAAGTGATGTTAATACAAACCTTCCTTTTCAGCGAACTAAGAGAAACTAATAGTGTAGCTATCTTGTATTTTTTTTTTTTGGTTCACTAATTGTAATTTTTTATTTTAAAGAGAATAAACAATAAAAATGATACAGAATTTAAAAATAATGTGATATGAAATTGACAGTGGTTATTATGTTGAATATTGTTATCTTCAAAGTAGTTGCTCAATTCCCAGACATAGGTATACAAAAATTGATCAAACAATATAAGCACTCACTTCCTTTCAGTGAACTAGTAGAAATTAGTAGTACTGTTATCTCAGCTATCTTGTGTGTATATATGTTTTTTTTACCCTTACCCCTCATACCAATTGTTCCTTCCTTTTTTTTTTTTATTTGTTCCTTCCTTTTGAGCAGTTTCTTTTTTTTTCGCAATACTGTACCTTTTGGATCTTATTTACTCTTTTATTTAGTTTCTTATAATAGGGAGATAATATGATGTTCATACATGTGGTTCTGATTTATTTCACTTATGAGCATGATCTCTAGTTGCATCCATTTAAAAAAATGTATTTAGTACAAGGTCTATGGATTCTGACTACGTAGATTGGACTTGTAGTGATCCTCCTATCTTCAGCCTTCCAAGTGCTGGGATTACAGGCACACGCCACCATGCCCAGTCTTAGTTGCCATCTCAAGGCACCCTGGGGGCAGAGCTGGTAGGGCACACTGGAGATTGAACCCCAGTCCACTGAGCCCATTTGTTTTTTGGCAGAACTGGGGATTGAACTCAGGCCCTTGCACTTGCCAGGCAAGCGCTTATTCTATTGAGCTAGATCCCTTGTCCCCGCCCCCCCCCC